CAAAATTAGTAATTCTCTACTGGGGGTGATTCTGTCCCCAAGAGGACACTTGGTGATACTGAGGATATTCATGGTTGTCACAACTGGGGGTGCTCCTGGCAAGAGTGGGTTGGTCCAGGGATGCTGCTCAATACCCCACAGTGTCCGGGTCGGTCCCAACATAGAATGACCGGCCCCCATGTCAGGAGTGCCCAGTGGGACAGACCCTGACCTGGTTTACTGCGCCTTTATCATGAGCCAGGCATGGGGCTCATTCCTTCACATCTATTACCTCACTGAATTCTTACCACACCACAATGTGGTGGGTCCACAATCAGCCCCATTCGAACAGTCAATGGCCAAGCCATTTGGCCAGAGCAGTTGGGAAGATTATGTAAAGCACAATGCATTGTACCTGAGCCTCCTGTTCGAGGCTATGCTACAAATGACAGCTATTGTTATTTTTATGGGCAGCCAAAAAACAGGCACCAGATGCCTCTCTCCTTGCTCAGGCTGGGCCTGCCTTGGAAGTCCCTTCTCCCAATGCTCCCTGTATTTCCACCAATCAAGCGTCATAACGGCCAACCTATTAAGCCTAAATAAGCTGCCACAAAACCATCCCATGTCCTGAAGAAAAACTCAGCTATGTTCTGCTTTATAGTCTCAGTCAACCTCACTGCAGATCTTGGATTGCTATATCATATTTTTTTTTTTTAATCCTCACCCGAGGACACTTTTCCATTTTTTGTTCAGATAGAGTGGGAGAGAGAGAAAAACATTGATGTGAAAAAGACACATCGAGCTCTGGCTGATTTGGCTCAGCAGTTAGAGCCTCGGCCTGCAGTCCAGAGAGACCAGGGTTCAGTTCCTGCTAAGGGCACGTATCTCGGTTGCAGTTTGTCCCTGGCCCTGGTTGGGTCGTGCGGGTGGCAGCCACTCGATGTGTACCTTTCCCATGGATATTTCTCTCTCTCTCTTCCTCTCTCTCCCCCCAACTCTATCTGAACAAAAAATGAAAATGTCAAGTGAGGATAAAAAAAAAGGAAAGAAAAAGACACATCAAGTGGTTGCCACCCACACGACCCAACCAGTGCTGGGAACAAACTGCAACCGAGGCACGGGTCCTTAGCGGGAACCAAACCCAGGTCTCTCTGGACTGTAGGCCAACGCTCTAACCACTGAGCCAAACCGGCCAGGGCTATATTGTATTTCTTTAAAAATGCGGGAAAAAGATTGTGTACTCTCTAGAACATTCCAGAAAAACAGCTCTCTTGCACCTACTAGAAATTGCACTACTTTCTATCACTATTAGTCAGATCTGTTTGCAGACTTTACTTGCTTCGAGCTGCTGCTTCTGAGCTTTTGTCACCCACCCTCCTGTCATGTCCACACTTCCCAGTGACCAGGCCACTTAGGGAAATTGCATCAGGCTCTGTTCTTTCCTAACCCGGAAGACAGAAACAACTACACATTTCCTAACAAAGGTGCTGAGTGGGGCACTGGGAAGGGGAATAGGCAGCTGTGGCCCTGGCCAGTTTGGCTCCGGTTAGAGCCTCAGCCTGAGTCACGGGTTTGATTCCAGTCAAAGGCACATACCTCAGTTGTGGTTCGGTCCCCATCCCTGGTCGGGGTCATGCAGGAGGCGACCAGTTGATGTGTCTCTCTCACATCGATGTTTCTCTCTTTCCCTCCTCCCTTTCACTCTATCTGAAGATAAATGTAAAAAACATCGAGTGAGGATTTTTTTTTTTATCCTCACTTGAGGACATTTTTCTATCCTTTGTTTAGGTAGAGTGGGAGAGAGAGAGAGGAACAGAGAGAGAGAAACATCGATGCGAAAGGAACACATCGAGTGGCTGCCACCCACACGACCAACCACGGCCGGGGACAAACTGCAACCGAGGTACGTGCTCTTAGCGGGAACCAAACCTGGGTCTCTCAGGACCGCAGGCCGATGCTCTAACCACTTAGAAAACCGGCCAGGGCAGGATTTTTTTTTTAAATCCTTACTTGAGAATATTTTTTCCATTTATCTTCACACAGAGTGGAGCGGGGGAGACAGAGAAACATTGATGCAAGAGAGACACATCAACTGGTCGCCTCCTGCAAAACCCTGACCAGAGCCAGGACTAAACCACAAACGAGGTACATGCCCTTGACCGGAATCGAACCAGCGACTCTTTGGTCCGTGGGCCAATGCTCTAACCACTGAGCCAAACCAGCCAGGTCTTGAGTGAGGATTTGGAAAAAAAAAAAGCTACACTGTGAAAAGGCAGCGTTAAGAGCCCTGTATCTCACTGCCAACAGCCTTAAGGTTAAAGACTCTATACATATGTCTAATGCACCTTGGTGTTGCTGTCATTACGCCTTGCAACTTACACAGATGTTACAAAGACTTTAGAGTAGATCAAATATTATATGATGAATAAAAGGAGATAGGGTTGCTCCGGCCAGTTTTGCTCAGCGGTTAGAGCGTTGGCCCGCAGACCAGAGAGTCCCGGATTCAGTTCCCGCTAAGGGCACGTACCTTGGTTGCAGTTTGTCCCCAGCCCTGGTTGGGGTCGTGTGGGTGGTGACCAGCTGATGTGTCTCTGTCACATTGATGTTTCTCTCTCTCTCTCCGCACCCCTCCCGCTCTATCTGAAGATAAATACAAAAAAATAAATAAAATAAAATAAAAAGAGATAGGACCCTGGCCAGTTTGGCTCAGCTATTAGAGCATCGGCCTACAGTCCAGAGAGACCCGGGTTCAGTTCCCACTAAGGGCGCATACCTTGGTTGAAGTTTGTCCCCGGCCCTGGTTGGTCGTGCGGGTGGCAGCCAGTCAGTGTGTCCTTTTCACATCGATGTTTCTCTCTCTCTCTCTCTCTCTCTCTCTCTCTCTCTCCCCCCTCCCACTCTATCTGAATAAAAATTGGAAAAATGTTCTCGGTGAGGATAAAAAAAATAGACAGGGTTTCGTTATGTGGGTATAGACGTCTGTCAGAACTCCAAATGGTTTAAGATATGCCTTAAGTTCTGGCCAGTTTGGCTCAGCAGTCAGAGCGTTGGCCTGTAGACTGAAGGGTCTCAGGTTCAATTCCTGGTCAAGGGCACGTATCTAGGTTGCAGGTTTGATCTCCAGTCCCGGTCGGGGGTCGTGCAGGAGGCAACCAATTGATGTTTCAATGTTTCTCTCTTTCTCTATCTTTCTCTCTCTCTCCCCCCCCCCCCTCTAAAAAACAATGGAAAAAATATCCCTGGGTGAGGATTAACAACAAATAAAAATAAATAAAGCTAAAAAAAAAATGTCTTATGTATACAAATTTTACCTAAAAAGGCAATGTGAACCACGAACAAATAGTGAACTCTACTTAATGACAGCATGCTGAGTGTTTAGGGGTGATATGAACTAGTGTTTGCAGCTTATTTTGAAATGCATCCCCAAAAAAATAAGACAAAGTGGTGGGCAGACAGAGCAGGATAGAGAGCTGTGTGATAAAGAGACTACATAAAATACTAGTAAAATCTAGGGGTAGGTGTTTATGTGTTCGTGGTTTTCAACTTTTCTGCATGTTTGCAATGTAAAAATTAAAATGAACAGTGTTTGGCACACAGGTAATCCAAAATACACGCTTCCTTGAACTTGAGAGAACTCGATCGATCCAACCTGCCTTTGAACTACACAATGAACTGCTTAGCAGGCACATGCAAGAGGTTTTCGGAGACTCTGAAAGGACCTCTGCTGAACAAATAGCCTGAGTGACAAATCATAATCAGTGTGGAGGCCACAAAAATGAGCCACCCTTGAAAGAAGCAGGAGATAGCAGCCCAGCGGAGCTCCACTCACAGCCCTGACTTTTCTCAAGGTGCACAGGACTGCACAGTCAAATCCCCAAGTTTGTAGAATGGGCTTCCCCTCCCCAGGCAGGGCAGGTTAACTCAGATTCTTAAGACATTCAGGTCATCCTATCTCTCACAGGAAGGAGGCTAAAGGTCTCCTAGGGCGCTGCAAGCCCAAGAAATTAATCATCAGGTCTTATTTCAAGTAAGTACACAGGATCCTCCCAGCCCCCAAAAGTCATGCCCAGGAGCACAATGTTTATTTTTCAATCTAGACACCAGATGGCGGCAGGATCCAGTTCAAAATGCAACAACAACAAAGTCGGGCACACAGCCCAACTGAAGACTTTTCATCCTACAATCTCTACACCACTGTTCCTATAGTTCACCCAACTCCAGGATAGTCCCAGCAGATGGGACCAATACTTTGTTATATCATCTTCTCCCACTCAGGGAAATCTCATTCACAGTAACTCCTGCCATCCCCCAAGGACAACTACAAAATTGGAAACCTCCCCCAGTGCCACTGGGGAAAGCGTCCCAATTTTGGGCAGCCACCAAAGCAAAGGTGGCCATTTTAAATACTACAAGGGGCTGTGGAGAGAGCGCAAAGAAAGGAGACAGAGGAGCAAGGCCATAGATCACCCACCACACCAGCCCCAGCTCATAAGCAGCCCCACCAAGAGCAGGCCCAGAATGGCAGAAATTCCCGATTTGCAAGAACCATCTCCCGCTTCTAAATAAGCTGATCCAAATTCCTAGAAAACACACCCTGTGGGGTCAAACCCTAAAAGGTATTGGCCATGGGCCACCAGTGCATGTCTCAAAGAACAACCCAGTCCCTTCTGTCCTGATGCTTGAGTAATGATTCTAGGCTCTTACTTGAAATTCATCAGCCCTCAGCCACCTCCAACTTCTTTTCCTAGAAATGATTTTGAAGAGCAGCTTTAAAACAATAAAATAAAAAGGGAATTGAAGAGCCCAAATGCTACAGATTCGAGTGCCAGCTGCCTGCCCAGTGTGTCAATCTGTGAGTTGAGCCTTTGTTCCTGGCTCAGGCATTTGAGTTTTCTGTGGAGACATGAAGCGGGACCGGATGAGGGGGGGGCAGACTGAACGTGCTGGTGGCGGAGGAGCAAAGCCTGGACTAGACAAGAACAAAGGTGCTGGGTGGTGGGCAGCCTGCAGGGCGGGTTTACCTGTTTGCCCCTGTAGAAAAGCCTTTGTAGGCCTGGCTCCACGTGGAACAGCTCCTGGATCTTCTTCCTCAGCTCTTCCACCTTGGTCAGCCTGGAGAGCGAGTCCACAGTGTGGGCTACCTTCCCATCCATGGTGCGAACCTGGATCCACATGGTGCCTGCTGGTGCTGAGAGAGCAGAGAGTGGATCCCTGGGTCAGTCCTGCCGCTGCCACCACCAGGCCGTGTCATACGTGGGTTATCCTTGCTTTGTCCACTCTATGGACATCCAGAAACTCCCTGAATGCCCTCCTGGCCTCCCTAGTCCCTAAAGACTGCCAGAGCTAGCCCAAGGCCTAGCAGAGCAAATTGAATAGTTAACGCATAAATAACTAACACCGGTGTAGGATTTAGGAGGAAGGAGAAATTAGGGAAAGACAAACGGCATTTTGGACCCTCAGTCCAACCCACACCTCTCCTTCAGAGGAAAGATACCAACGTCCACAGGAGGAAGGACACGGCCAAACTGTGGAGGGTCGAGTTTGTTCGTTTGTTCATTCATTCATTCATTCATTCTTTGAGTTAACACTGACGGAAGAGGGAAACCCAAAAGTCCCGCGCAGGTCGGAACTTCAGAAGTCCATGGAAACTTAACTAAGTGCAATCAAATGGGAAGAACCCCACCGGAGACACGCGAGCCCGGGACCATTCGGTGTCGACGACCCCCACGGCCCCCGCGCGCGCGTGCGCGACACAGCCAGCCCCGCGGTGGCCATGGCAACTGGCCGCCCTGTCCCGGCCACCCCCGCGCGCCGCGCGTCTCACCTCGGTCCCACAACGGCCACGCGTGCCGGTTCTCGTTCCTCGGACTCAGACTCACGTCCCAGAAGCCCCTCTTGGCCTCCCTCCCGCCTGAGTGGGCCACGCCAGCGAGCCCACGCCCACCCCCACCGCTGGGACCGACAGAGGGGCCCCTCGCGCCAGGTCCCGCCCCTTTACTTGATCCAACTCGCTCACTGGCTTCGCCGCGCCAGGCCGCCCCGCCCATCTCGATCCCCATTGGCCCAGATGTGCCCGGGGAACTAAGGGCGCGCGAAATCGGGCTCCGGCGCGACAATTGAATCGCGGGGCGCCCCGCGCGCAGGCGCGGAGCCTGACACGCTCCCCCGCGACTCTCCTGGCCCTCCCCCACCCAGCCGGCGCGACCCCCGCGGGGCTCGGGGGATGTTCCGCCTGCCAGGGACCAAGTCCAGAATTCCGTAGGCGACTGCCCAGGACTGGCGGGGCTAGGCCCAGGAGACCGCGTGCAGGGCATTTCCAACGCGGGGGATGCGGGCACCGATGCTGACCGCGCGTCTTTGGACGCTCTGGAAAGTTTTGCAAAGTCTCAGTGCCGGGTGTGCCGGGTTTCCCACCCCCCTACACACACACACACACACACACACCGGCCGGAGCTGATGCCCCATTCCGCCGAGCCGCTCACCTCTCGGGCCGCCCCGACCACTCGCCTACCTGCGCGCCTGACCGGCCTGAGGATGGCGATAGAGCCGCGTGCTTGGCCCAGACCCCGCGCGGACGTGCGTGAGACCCGGAGCGCCCAGCCTGCCAACACTGCCCGCCGCGCTGCCAGCTGCTCTGATTTTTTTCCCGCGAAAACTCGGCGTTTGGGAGTTGCGGGACCGCGGGAGGCCACTCCGGGGGCGGGCGCCTGCGTGGTGATTGGCCGCTGCAGTGGCGCGAAGCAAGAAAGGGGGTGGGGGGCGCCCCCGCCTTAGTCCACCCGGTTCCCGGAGCGGGCCACGGCCCCGCCCAGCCCTGCGCGCTCTGCTGGGTGTGCCCAGCGTACAACGGGGCCCATTGGTAGGACTGGGCACCCCCAACATGCGTGGCCTCCAGGAGTCCTAGAGATCCCCGGAGTAATAGAGACCCCCTGACCTACTCAAGTCGGTTCCTGCAGCCCCCTCCCTACCCCGGGCATGCATTGACCAGTAGGGCAAGGAAGGCCGGAATCAATGTCTAAACACTGAAGGAGAATGTGGGTGGCCTCCAGGAGACAGCCTGGCACCCGAGTGGCCTGCCTAATCAACCCCAGCCCACCTTTATCATCAGGACCCGCAAGCACTCCCACACTACCCACCCGCAGGACTTGTTTGCTGGTTTTTCCCGCCTCGTTTTCCCGCCTTTTCCCCGGCTGTCCAGGCGGGAAGAGCTGCCCTGCCCCCTTTGCCCTGCCTGCTCTGCTCTGGCCAGTCTTGGAGGGCACCCATGCTGGGCATCTACAAAGCCGACTGGACAAGGAGCTCAGAGCTACGGCCCCAACATTGGACAAGGCTGACCCTGTGGGTGTCTCCAGTAGGGTAAATTTTTATTTGGAGAAACGGAGCAAGACATGAATAAATGAAGCAAATCATTTCAGACACTACATGCAATAGCTGGAGAATGCCCAGTGGCCATATGGAAGTAGGGAGAGAGGATATTCTGGTTAAGGTGGAGAGGTGAGCCTCTCTTGGAAGATGACATTTGAGCTGAGATCTGAGAGGAAAAACCAAGGACAGATGGGTCCAGGAAGGGAGGGCAAGCTCAGAAATGGGAAAAGGCTAAGAAATGTAGGGGGAGCAGCAAGGAGGCCAATGTAGCTGGACAGGCACAGCAGAGGAGAGGTTGGGAGGGGATGAGGTCAGAGGGGTGTCAGATAAGACCTTAGAGGCCACCAGGAGAACGTTGGTCTTTCTCTTGGAGGCAGCAAGTAGCATAGGAGGCTGTGAGTAGAAAAGTGATGAGTTACCATTTATTTTTTACAAGGTTTCTCTGACACTGTGTAGACTCCGTTCCATCTTGGCACTGGTACTTCTGGTTTGATTTTCCCGGTGTTGACAGAATCATGCCTCCCCTAAAGACGTCCACATTCTAATCCCTGGAGCTTGTGAATAGGATACCTTCCATAGTAAAAGGAATTTTGCAGATGAGAGTAAATGAATGCTCATGAGATGGGGAGATATCCTAGATTATCTAGGCTGGCCCAATGTCATCACAAGGGTCCTGATAAGTGAAAGAGAGGAGAGAGGGTCAGAGTCAGAAAAGGAGATGTGACAACAGAATTGGGGGTTGGAATGATGAAACCAAGAGGCAAGAAAAGTGGGAAGCCTCTGGAAAAGGCCAGGGACAATGCTCTCCTGGACCCCTAGAACACAGTCAACAACTTGATTTTAGCTCCTTAAAACCCATTTTAGACTTCTTACCTCCAGAACTGTAAAAGAATTAAGTTGTGTCGTTTTAAGCCACTAAATTTGGGGTAATTTGTTATAGCAGCCACAGGAAACCAATACACAAAGTCCAGATGCTGCTAATTTTCTCCAACTTTAAGACTCTGTACTATCAAATGCATTTCTGAGTGCCCAGCCTTCAGCCACATATTGACCACGTCCCAGGTGTAAGTAGGTATAAAGCAGGCTTACTAGAGCCTGTGAAGCAAATGAGACCTTCCAAATTGAGAACACCTGCTGCAGGACCCTCTTCTGTTCCTGCTGAGAAAATATCATTTGTTGTGCAGGCTGTTGCAAAAACTCAGCATGGCCCAAATGGGTAATACATTCTTTGTGTACATTTGGTGCAGGACACAGCCCAGGCTTCTTGGATATCTGAAGTTAAGCATCACTGAAAGAGGCATCTGGCTTTCCCTGCAGAAAAGCCTATAAGGACTAGTGACACAAGGCCCCATTTCTCTAGTAATTTCGAGACAGTCAGAGGGGTTGCTTGGGTTAATTAACAAACATGAAGATACTATGCCAAGTACCCTGGCCAAGTGGCTCAGTTCATAAGAGTGTCGTCTCGATGTGCCAAGGTTGCGGGTTCGATCTCCAGTCAGGGCACGTACAAAAATCAACGAATTAATGCATAGATCAGTGAAGCAACAGATCAATGTTTCTCTTTCTCCCTTCCTCCCTCTTTCTAAAGTCAATTTTTAAAAAACATACTATGGCCCTGACTGGTTTGGCTCAGTGGTGAGAGTGTTGGCCCACAGACCAATGAGTTGCGAGTTCAATTCTGGCCAAGGGCACATACCTCAGTTGTGGTTCGTCTCTGGCCCTGGTCGGGGTCGTGCGGTAGGCAGCCAGTCGATGTGTCTCTCTCACATGGATGTTTCTCTCTCTCTCCCCCCCCTCCCTCCCACTCTATCTGAAGATAAATAGAAAAATATCCTTGGGTGAGGATTAAAAAAAAACAACTATTCCAACCATCTCCAAAAGACACTTACAAACCCTTTAGGGAGACAAGATATCAATGTCCACAAAAGACATCATGTAAATTAAAACAAGGTACAGCAAAAATAATGAATGAGGCCTGCCAGAGTCTGGAGAATGGACAATTTCCAGTGCTGCTTCTGCATTAGTGTCACTTCCACTTAGGCACGGGCCTATGTGCTGATCAGACACCAGGAATAAGAATGCAAAAGACCTCAGTTTCCCTTTTGCAAAATGATATGCTCTTGAAGGTCAGTAAGACATTCAGCAAACTTTTATTGACTTCCCTTGTCGGAATCAGGCCCTAGATCCGGCAGACACTGGTAGACACAAAGCTTACTGAGACAAAGTCCCACTCTGGAAGTACTTCCCATCCAATGAGGAGACTCAGGCATAAAGAGAAATGCTAGCTGTGCAAGGAGATGGTTCTTCATGACAGTGTCCATGTGTAGGTGGACCACACAGTGCTCTGAGCAGCTTCAAGTCACATTGGATTTCATATCCTGGCCACATCTTTAATTATTTTTTCTAACACTGACTGGTATGAATATAGAATCATTAAAATGAAAATGATTGTGTATGGCCCCAAAACAATGTGTGAATCCTGAGAGGCACACATGTCATATTTGGAGTAGAAAAGATCTCTGGCCCTGGCCGGTGTGGCTCAGCAGTAAGAGCGTCGCCCATGGACCAGAGAGTCCTGGGTTCAATTCCAGTCAAGGGCACGTACCCCAGTTGCAGTTCATCCCCAGCCCCAGTTGGGGTTGTTCGGGTAGCAACCAGTCAATGTGTCTCTCACATTAATGTTTCTCTCTCTCTCTCTTCCTCTCTCTCTCCCTCCAGCTCTATCTGAAGATTAATGTAAAAATATCCTCGGATGAGGATAAAAAAAAAACAGAAAACATCTCTGAGCTCATTTGCTGTGCCTCTCCACCTATACGTGGGGCTCATAACACCTACCTCAGCAGAGTGGTTGGACGAATTCTTCCCACCCAAGGCCCCTAAAGCCCTAGCATGATGACAGGTGTTCCTGAGTGGTAGGAATATTGATGCCTTATGGTTGTTTTCGTTTGTTTGCTTGTTATTTTTTAGGAAAAGGTGGCCAGGCTACCATTTCACAAAACACTGACGATTCTGGGGTTCCCAAGCTGCTGCCCACTCCCGAGCAACAACCTTGCCGCCCCTCCTCCTGGTCACTGGGAATCCCTTCCCAGAACCCTGGCTGGATGATGTCACAGACAGGTGACCTCACTGAGGCCAAGGAACCCAGCATCTCAGTGGCATGGAGGAGGGGGAAGGATGTTTCTCCACCCGCCCAACCCTCCATGTCTGTGGTGAAGTCAATCGAATTAGTGCTGCCCAAGGATGCGGTCTACCTGGCCGGCTCCTGCATTGAAGGGCAGGTAGTTCTAACCCTGAACAGCACCCTGGTGGACCCCATTGTGAAGGTGGAGCTCGTGGGAAGGGGTTATGTGGAGTGGAATGAAGAAACTGGGGCCTCCCGTGATTATAGCAGAACTGTTATTTGCAACAACAAGGCCGACTATGTACACAAGTCAAAGACGTTCCCAGTGAAGGGTAAGGACGAGGCCAGCAGCCATCCCTAACTATAATAGGAACCTGGGTCTGGAAGGTAA